TTGAACTCCTTGAAGTAGATATCTAACAGTGGGGTCAAAGGGTATGAGTATTTATTTTAATCATTTATTTTTTAGCATACATCCAAATGCATTTCCAAATGGCTGTCCCAAGTCAATTCTAGCAATTATTATTATTAGTCTGTCCACAAAAACTTCCAATATTGATTATTTCCATTTTTTTTCATATTTGATAGTTTGTAGCTAGATGAGACAATAAGAGCTCATCTTGTTTAACTCGCTACACAAAGCAAAGAACCTCTTTATAACATCTGTGGCACATGGCTCTGCTTGAGGCTAGATAATGTCATAACCACATCTCAGCAACTTTTTTTTTTCTATCTGGGTATATACTTTATTTTTTTTAATTTTATGAATTTATTTTGATTTATCAATAATCACTTCATCACTTCCGTATGCTTTTGAGTTTAAAATTTTTCTCCTCCTCCTTCCCCACTACCCTCCTCAAGACAGCACACAATCTGATATAGGCTATATGTTTACATTCCTATTAAACATATTTTCACATTAGTGGTGTTATAAGTAAAAATTAAAACCAATAGGAGGAACCATCAGAAAGAGGAAACAAAACTCAACAGAAGAGGAAAAAAAAATAGCAATTCAACTTTCATAGTCTTTTCTTTGGATGTGGATAGCATTTTCTATCACGAGCCCTCTGGAGACATCTTAGCAACTTTCCACCTAGAATCCAAGTCCATAGTAATTTGACAAAGAATAACCACATAGAATCTAAGGTTCTATAAAACACTGTGTGGACAATGAGCATACTAGTGAGTTTTGTAGATTTTCAAGAGGTCTTACAAACATGATGATGATCAATTATACAACCTGAGAGTTAATTGGTCCTTATATAGGCTTGTCTCACTACAACATGATGATATTTGTTTGAAAATAATAAAACACATTGGTATATTCTAAGAAATAGTTATATGACATTACTTTGGTATCCATCAAGTTCATAAGAATCAAAGAATCTCAGAGTTGGAAGGGACCTCATTAGATAAGCAACCCATTCATTTCTTATCCCATCCAGTTCTTATCAATATAAGATATATGAAGAGTAGATGAGATGTAAACTTATAGGAAGGGCACTACCAGAAAGGGGATCAGGTAAGAAAGTAGAATTTAAGCTGAATCTTAAAGGAAGTCAGGGAAGCTAAGAAACAGAGGTGAGAGCTTACCTTAATAGGTACCAAATTAAAAAAAAATTTCTTAATCTCTAGAGGAAGAGTGTGAGGTATTATGTGTAAAAGAAGTTACCTCCAGGCATGGAGGATGGCTAGTGCAAAGGCCGAAAATTGAGACTTGGAGTTATCAGATAGAAGGAAAAGCAAGAAAACCAGTCCAGCTGGAGCACAGAGTTTAAAGAAAGGTGTTAAGTGTAAGGAGACTGGAAAGATAGGAAGGGGCTAATTTGTAAAGGGTTTTAAATGCCAGAGAGTTTATATTTGATCTTGAAAAGGGAGCCACTGGAGTTTATTGAGTAGGGGAGTGACATGGGAATGATGGTAGAAGCAATCTGCTAGAGAAGGCAAAATGATTAGGACTCAATGGTGCAGTTAGAAGAGTTAGTTTTGGCAAGAAGGGCTACCTCTTCATTAGAAACAGGAACATAGCAGGGATATAGGAAGGGAAGATGTCTGAGTAACATGAAATGTGGAAGAGGGGACAAAAGGGAATTTTTGGCCAATTGCTTTAATTTATTCAATGAAGTATGAAGAGAAATTCTAAGTTGAGAGGGTTAGGGATGGGGTATGGTAGGAGATTTGAGGAGGGATGAAAATGTTTGGAGTAGCTACTGTGGATAGTGAGAGAGTAAATTGATTAGGGAGGTATAAAAGTATTGTCATTGTTAACCTTCTGATGATGAACATCTTCAGACTTGCCTGAGGAAATGAATGACATAGTCTGGTAGAAAATGCTTTCCTCTCAGTCTACATACCAACTAGTTGCCAAATCTTGTTATTTCTACCTCTACATAATCTTTCACATTTGTCTCCTCTCCAGTCATGTAGCCACCAACTTTATACAGACCTTTATCACCTCCTACCTAGACTTTTGCAAAAGCACTTTAATTGTTCTCTTTGTCTCCAGTCTCTTTCCACTACAATTCATTGTCCTCTTAGCTGTCAAAGGGATTTTTGCTAAAAAACTGATCTGACTATATCACTTTCCTATTCAATAAATTCTAATGTCCCCCTATTACTTCAAAAGTCAAATACAAATTCCTCTGGTAGGTACATAAAGCTCTTCCAAATGCAGTTCCAACCTACCTCTCCAACTCTGTTTCTTATTACTTCTCTCCATGCACTTCATGGTCTAGTCAAACTGGTGTTTTTGCTACTCCCTCCCCCCTCAATACATGACATTACACCTCTTATCTCTGTGCCTTTGCATTGGCTAAATCCGATGTCTAGAATTCACTTCTACACCATATCTGCTTAGAATCTCTGGTTTTCTTCACGATTCAGCTCTGATACTTAATGTTTGTGTTACCTTGAGAAATCCTTTAAACTCCCGTGAGTTTCCCCACCTGTAAAATGAGAGAATTGGACTAGGTAGTCTCTGAGATTTCTCCCAGCTCTAGATCTGTAAGCCCACTATGTCACCTTACTTCCCCAAACCTTCTTTTCTCTTTTGTAAAATGAGGATGATAAAATTTGCATGATATACCTCAGAGAGTTGTCATGAAGATAAACAGCATAATGTTGAAACACTAAATCATCATGAAGAATTCTTATTGTCATCAACAAATATCTTCCAGTTTCTTTATTTAGGTTTCTGATGTCAAAAAGTAATGAGTCGACTCACTTTCAGATCCCTTATTTATCAGAGATTTTTAAAAAATTGTGTGTGTTGAGGCTACTCATACAAATGAAAAAAAATGAAAAAATATAGCTCTTTACCTTCAGTGCAGAGGGGGCAAACAATGGAATATTGCATTGACTATTCAGACTCATTCAGTGTGTTGACTGGTTTTGCTGAACTGCTTTTTCTTTCTTTTTTTTTCAATCTTTGTTATAAGATATGACTTGAGAGTAATGAAGTACAAGGCAAGATATGCTGAAATGAATGTGGTTGTAAAAACAAAAAGCATCAATAAAAATAAGAAAGTTCACAGGATATACTCTCACATCTGGAACAGTGGCCTGTCAGATGATCCTCAACTGGGATTGCTGCAGTAATTCCTGAATTCTAGTCTACCTGTCTCTATATGCACAGTCAGTTTGGGATTGGTTGGGTTTCAAGACCAGGTTGGTCAGTATGACCAATATCACCAGCTAAATGGCTTCAGTGGGCCTTTGGTCAACAAAATTCTGCTGAAGGCCATGTAAACACCAGATTTGTTCTTTCAAATATAGGGCCTTACCCAGTTGCTGACAAAGCTTATGCCATGATTGTAGAATATCTTTATTAGGGGTGACCATATAGCTGGCTGAATTTCTAGTGATAGACCTTTGCTAATCAAACAGGTTGGGGAAAATACCCGAGTGGTATTCTCCCATTGGCCCAGAATATATTAGATAAGCACTGAGTATTACAAGCCTCATTAGCTTTTCTAGCCAATATATCTCTTATGCTTGTAATGCACATAGTATTAGGCTACTGTCTCCTAGGAGCAGCTAGGTGGCACAATGGATAGAGCACTGGGCTTAGAGTCACAAAGAGTCATTTTCATGAGTTCAAATCTAGCTTCAGCCAGTTAATAGTTGGTTGATCTTGGGCAAGTCACCGAACCCTGCTTGCCTAAGTCCATCATCTGCAAAATAAGCTGGAGAAGGAAATGGCAAACCACTAAGGTATCTTTGTCAAGAAATTTCAAATGGGATCATGAAGAGTCAAAAATGACTGAACAACTGTTTCCTAATCTTCCAGTTCGGATTTTTTCTGTCCTTCTTATTGGTGGATCAACAAGTTAAGTCACATTCACTGATCTCAGCCCAACTTATTTGAAATTTTTGTGCCCAGAATGAAAAAGAGGAGGAAAGTTGAGGAAAGGAAAATATTTTCTTTCTGCTTCCAGAGAACAATATGATACATTCTGATCATTCAACCAAAGCCAAAGAATGTTCTAATTACTGCTTTTCGCCTTTTGCTTTGGACTGCTGAAAGCCTAAATACATTATCTTCTCCTTCCTTCACCTCTAATGTAGGCTGCTTAGAGTGTCACACCCTTAACCACAACCGTTACTGGGGCTCTCGGCCAAGTATATCATCCCAGAGGAGGAACAAAAAGTCCTATTTCTGCTAAGATCAGCTAGAGCAGAGACCAAAAGAAAGGAGCTGAGGCTTGAGAACAGAAAGAAAGATGAAAGATTAGGAAAGGAATAGGGAATAAAGGTGGAGGAAAAGTTGAAGTGGGGGTTAGGTGTCAAGATGTGATGATTCCAGTCCCAACCTTCCTGCTTCATGGGGCAGAAACTACTTTCTAATTTATCACTAATTTTTAACTTGTAATTAGAGGTACTAAGGGTCTTGAAATTTCTAGTCCCTGAGCCTGTTTAGACTGATTGTCTGGATCTGACCCCTAGTTACCTATCCTCACTTTCACCACTGCTATTATAACTGGATGCATCTTGGTAGAGCATTTGCTTCATCTTTTTCTGCTTGTTTCTGTCTGCCACACACACTCCAGACCATGAGCACAGGTTTTCTGGGGTTCATTTATGAGTGAAAAAAGAATAAACAACTTTAGTAATAAGCCAGAGTAATTTAAAGGTATAATGTCCACAGTAAGAAATCCATAAGAATAAATAAACCAACCCAATCTCAGACTGAGTGGTGCCTGTGCAATCTAACTTAATATTTAACTAAAGTTCCCTGGTGATTTTCTCCAGACCTGGATCACTCATAGCTTCCAAAGGCCTCTTAAATCAAAAACCTTTTGATGATTATGGGAAAATTGTATATTGTCTATTGGTGTTACACCTGAAAGAACTGTTGATCTTGGGTTTTGTTTTGTTTTTTTTTTTCAACCAAAGTTAAAGATGGGTCACTATGTATGAGGAGGTCTTCACTTGAAGAATTAAAAACCAGAAGAGACCAGATGACAAGACAGAGGTCAAAGAAATGAGAGAGTAACCACAATAAACTAAAAATAGGTAAAGGAGCAGAGCTGAGAATGTTCCCTGATGCTTAAAAGAAATAAAGTAGAAGAGGATCAGAAGTTTGAGCAGCTGCTTCAGGCTGTTCTGGGAACTGGTTTGATTGGAGGAGAGCTCTATAGCTGTTGGGAAGTGGAAGAAAGCAGAATCCTGCTATGTGAAGAGCTGGCTGGGTTTGGCTGCATTGCCCAGAGATAAAATTGAAGAACTTTTCACCTCTGTTTTAAGGAAAAAGTTTGTCACTGACCTAGCTTAACACTGCTTCAGCAGTAAGGCAAGGGAGCAGACCCAAAATGCTGCTGATCCCAGAACTGGGTCTGCTGTTTCACTGAAAAAGGACAATATGACTGCTTAATGAAAAGAGCTTAACATTGCTTCAGTGGCCCATAAGCAGTAGAGAAGTGTATCCAAATGTATTCAAAAGGATACAAGCATATTTCTTTATTCCACTTCACTTTATTGCATTTCTCAGCACAATTTGCATTTTTTATTACAAATTGAAGGTTTGTGGCAATTTTATTTCAAAATCGGTCTATTTTCCCAATAGCATGTGCTGACAGAGTGTCTCTATGTCACACTATGTTAATTCTCATAATATTTCAGACTTTTTAATTATTATTATATCTACTATGTTGACCTATAATCAGTGATCTTTGATGTTACTATTATAATTGTTTTGGGGGTGCTACGAACAGAGCTCATATAATACAGTGAACTTAATCAATAAATGTTGTGTTTGCTCTGACTGCCCCACTGACTTGCTATTCTGTCCCTCTCCTTGGGTGTCTGTATTCCCTGAGACACAACAATATTAAAATTATGGCAATTAATACATATAAAATAACATAAATACATAACATATAATAAATAAAATAATAATCTACAATGGCCTCTAAGTATCCAAATAAAAGAAAGAATCAATCAATGCAGCAAACTTCATGGTTGTCTTATTTTAAGAAATTGCCATAGCTACCCCAACCTTCAGCAACCACCACCTTGATTAGTCAGCAGTCATCAACAACGAGGCAAGAACCTCCACTACCAAAAAGACTACAACTCACTGAAGGCTCAGAATAGCAATAAATTTGCAATAAAGCATTTTTAAATTAAGGTTTGAACATTTTTTTAGACATAATACTATTAAGTGTGCAATAGTATATAAACATAACTTTTATATGCACTGGAAAACAAAAAAAAGTTGTGTGACTTGCTTTATTGTGATCATCTGGAACTGAACCTACAACATCTCAAAGGCATGCTTGTAGTGTAGAAGTCCAAAAGAACAGTTGGTGATGTGTAGAGATTGTTTCCAAAAAATGAAAGACCACTAACATCCAGGCCTCAGGAATGTGAGTTTCTCTGCTTGTGTCACATTGCCAGGTTTCTCCATGTGTGTGTCCACTTCCCAGCTCCCCTCAACCCTTAGACCCTGTGTACACTGATAACGACAGCGTGACCTAGGTTTATAGGCAGACTGTCATGTTTGGGTTATTCCTCCTTTTGCTTTCAATTAAGTGTATGTTATATTATGATAATTCTGGATTTTGCCTTCTAATTTAGTAAATGTTTCATGTTCAAGAGTCAATGGTAACATTATGATAATAATAATAATGATAATAACAAACAATTATTTGGTGCTTTAAAGTACAAAGCACTTTACATATATTATCTCATGTTAGTCTGACAACAACACCTAGAGGTAGGTGCTATTATTATCCCCATTTTACAGATGAGGAAACTAAAGTAGACAGCAGTTAAGTGACTTTCCAGGGTCACATAGCTAGTAATTGTCTGAGGGAGGTTTTACACTCAGGGCTTCCTGACACCAAGTCCAGCATGGCTTCAGAGTACATCCACTGGAGCTCAGTAGCCACAATAGCACAAAGAAGAAGTACATGCCCCAGATTTCCTACCATGATGGCATTTTGCCTTGCTCTCATATACCTACTCTAGAACATTTTAAAGTTTGCACTAGGGGGGCAGAGCCAAGATGGTGGAGTGAAAGCAGTGACTTGCTTGAGCTCTCCCCCAAACCCCTCCAAATACCTATAAAAAATGGCTCTAAACAAATTCTAAAGTAGCAGACCCCACAAAAAGACAGACTAAAGCAAATCTCCAGCCCAAGACAACTTGGATGGTTGCTCAGAAAGGTATATCTCGCCGGGCTGTTAGAAGAGCGCAGTTCGGCGTGGGCACACAGGCCGCAGCAAACCTGGAGCAGTCCTCAGAGAACTGAATCCCGGGCAGCTGTGGTGGCTTCCAGACTCCTCAACCCACAAACATCAAAGACAACTTAAAAGATCAGTGGGAAAAAGTCTGCTTCTGCGGTGAGAGAGGAGCTAGGTCAGAGACAGCTCCAGAGCGCAGAGCACAGAGCACAGGCACTGGGGCAGCGGCTGCGTTCTGAGCTTCAAGCCCACAGACTGAGGGGGAATATAGTGGCTGATCAGAGGGGGATTTCAGGGATCTATTTGCCAGTGCTAAGGCAGGAATATCTTGCTTTGCCCGTGTTTGGATCTGGGTCACAGTTCTGGGCAGCAGTTCTGGGGCAAGTAGGAGTGCTGGCATGGTGGAGCTTGTAGTGGCAGTAAAGAGAAAACCTTCTTCACAGTTCCAGGACAGAAAGAAGTGCTTGGGGTCACTAATAGATTAGAGCACAGGCCAGGAAAGGAGTAAACACGTCACCCCCTATCATACCACCTTGCAAGAACTGAAAATTTACAGGTCCCTACAAGTATCTCTGAAAATCAGCTGTATAAACCCCCGAAGCTTGGGACAGTACATTCTTCACATTGGAAGCAGATTCTTACCTTAACAAAAAGTTTAAAACTCAAATAATTGGCCAGGATGATGAGCAAGCAATGCAAAAAGAGTCAGACTATATTATCTTACTTTGGTGAAAAAGAAGATCAAAATATACAACCAGAAGAAGACAACAAAGTCAAAGCTCCTACATCCAAAGCCTCCAAGAAAAATATGAATCAGTCCCAGGCCTTGGAAGAGCTCAAAAGGGATTTTGAGAAGCAAGTAAGAGAAGTAGAGGAAAAACTGGGAAGAGAAATAAAAGTGATGCAAGAAAATCATGAAAAACAAATCAACAGCTTGCTAAAGGAGACTCAAAAAAATACTGAAGAAAATAACACCTTAAAAAATAGCCTAACCCAAATGGCAAAAGAGGTCCAAAAAGCCAATGAGGAGAAGAATGCCCTAAAAAGAAAAATTGGCCAAATGGAAAAGGAAGTCCAAATGATTACTGAAGAAAATACTTCCTTAAAAATTAGAATAGAGCAATTGGAAGCTAGTGACTTTATGAGAAATCAAGACACTGTAAAACAAATCCAGAAGAATGAAAAAATAGAAGACAATGTGAAATATCTCATTGGAAAAACAACTGACCTGCAAAACAGATCCAGGGGGAGAGAATTTAAAAATTATTGGACTATCTGAAAGCCATGATCAAAAAAAGAGCCTAGATATCATCTTTCAAGAAATTATCAAGGAAAACTGCCCTGATATTTTACAACCAGAGGGCAAAATAGAAATTGAAAGAATCCATTGATCTCCTCCTGAAAGAGATCCCCAAAGCAAAACTCCTAGGAATATTGTAGCCAAATTCCAGAGTTCCCAGGTCAAGGAGAAAATATTACAAGCTGCCAGAAAGAAACAATTCAAGTATTGTAGAAACACAATCAGGATAACACAAGATTTAGCAGCTTCTACATTAAAGGACCGCAGGGCATGGAATATAATATTCCAGAGGGCAAAGGAGATAGGATTAGAACCAAGAATCACCTACCCAGCAAAACTGAGTATAATCCTTCAGGAGAAAAAATGGTCATTCAGTGAAATAGAGAACTTTCAAGCATTCTTGATGAAAAGACCAGAGCTGAATAGAAAATTTGACTTTCAAACATAGGACTGAAATGGAACATGAAGAGGTAAACAGGAAAGAGAAGTCATAAGAGACTTATTAAGATTGAAGTGTTTACATTCCTGCATGAAAAGATGATATTTATAACTCATGAGACTTTTGTCAGTATTAGGGTAGTTGGAGGGGGAAAAATTATGTGTATGTATGTAGATAGATAGATAGATAGATAGATAGATAGATAGATAGATAGACAGATAGATAGATAGATAGATAGGTAGGTAGATAGGTAGAGGGCACAGGGTAAGTTGAAGATTAAGGGGTCATATCTGGAGAATAAAATTAAGGGATGAGAGAGGATTATATTAGGAGAAGAAGAAGGGAGAGGTAGAATGAGGTAAATTATCTCACAAAAAAAAAAACAGAAAAGAAAATCTCTCACAGTGGAGGGGAAACAGGGGAAGGTGAGAGGGAACAAGGGAATCTTATTCTCATAGGATTTGGCTTAAGCAGAGAATAACATACACATTCAATTGGGTATGTAAATCTGTCTTACCCTACAGGAAAATAGGGGGAGAAGGGGACAAGAGAGCAGGGGGATGATAGAGAGGAGGGCAGATTGGGAAAGAGGGTAATCAGAAGCAAATACTTCTGAGGAGGGACAGGGTCAAAAGAAAGAATAGAATAAATGGGAAGGCAGGATAGGATTAAGGGAAATAGAGTTAGTTTTTCACAACATGCCTACTATGGAAGTGTTTTGCATAACTGCACATGTACAACCTAAAAAAAATGAAATAAAATAAAATAAAGGACAATTTATTAAAAAAAAAAACTATCCCGGGGCAGCTAGGTGGCGCAGTGGACAAAGCACTGGCCCTAAAGTCAGGAGGACCTGAGTTCAAATCCAGCCTCAGACACATAACACTGACTAGCTGTGTGACTCTGGGCAAGTCACTTAACCCCAATTGCCTAACTATCCCATAACTTTGGAACAGGTATGAGAGCCCAGCATTCCAGGGCCTTCATTCACTAATCTCATCTTAACTATGAACTCCAAACTACATTAACAGAAATGTGTTACACACTCACAGTGTCCAGAACCATTCAATTTTATTTCTTACCACTTCCTCCATTCTTTAACTTGGTAATCTCATCAACTCTCATAGTTTTAATTGTCATCTCTGTGCAGATGATCTTAGATCTACTCTCTATATCCAACTCTAGTCTCTATACTGAGCTCCAGTCCCTTATCACCAGCTGCCTATTGGACAATCTGAAATGGATGTCCCATAGGCATCTCAAACAGCATGTCTAAAACAGAATTATTTTCCTTGAAACCTACCCCTCTTCCAAGTTTCTTTATTTCTTTTAGGGATACCCCCAATCTTCTAGTCATCCACTCTTACAACTTCAGTCTTATCGCATCTTGTCCACATTGTTTCTCCTATCTGTCCCTTCTCTTCACTCAGTTCAGACCCTCATCATCTCCCACCTGGAATAATGCAATAGCCTCCTAAATGTCTCTCTCCATTTCAATCTATCCTCCACACATCTGCCAAAGTGATTTTCTTAAAGTTCAATTCTGACCATGTCACTACCCACTCAATAAACTTTGGAAGCTCCCTATTACTTCTGAGGGTAACAAGGTAGTGCGGTGGATAGAATACCTGTACTGGAATCAGGAGGATCTGAGTTCAGATCTGACCTCAGACACTTACTAGCTGCATGACCCTAGGCAAATCATTTAACCCTCTTTGCCTCAGTTTCCTCATCTGTAAAATGAGCTGGAGAAGGAAATGGTAAACCTCTCCATTATCTTTGCCAAGAAAGCCCCAAATAAAGTCAGACACAATTGAAAACAACT